TTAGTTATACGAATTCAGATATAAAGCTTTAATAAGTTGTATTTACGCACAATCTATTTGTAATCTTAAGTTTTAAGTAATATGCATTATAAACAGTATTTTACACATAAAAAATGGTTTTTAAGAGTTTTTGTCAAATACTTTATATATAATATAGATAATTCAACTCCTAAAACGATTTCATCCAACTAATTTTAATTTCTTCAAAGTCAAATTCTAGTTCACAAACCCAACATTGTTTAGAAAATACCAAATTTGACGTTGTTTTTCAAGGAAATATTATAATACCAAATTTGGTGTGAAATATTTATTGAGGTGCTGTAATAAAATAAGAAAACGTCGATACAACATTCTTTAGACCTGGTCGTCGTCGTCGTCATCCTCCTTAAACCTTCTTCTCCAAGTCTTTGATCACATACATTATTTAACAATTAATCTTTCATTAACCAAAATACTTCCATTTTCGACTCCAATCCCGATATGGAAGAACAACAAGAGAACAACCCCATTGATGAATGCTCCAGGTAAATCAAACTCCATCTCTGATCCTTCTCTCTGTGATTCCTTCTTAATGGGACAGCGAAAATTTTGCAGGTCGGAGATCACCAAATTACCAGATGAAATTCTTGCGGATATTCTTTCAATCTACCCCTTGGATTCTGGATCAAAGTTCGTAGCTCTCCTCACAGGTTTGTGTAACAGAACTTGCATCAAGTATGGAGGACCAGCAGTCCAAGTTCAAGATTTTGAATCCGAAATCAGAAAACATTTCCTTATGTTTGATGAAAATAAGCCTCTGAAAAGTCCCAGAAAGCTTGAATTCCATTTCAATCGAGGGTTGATCGTGACAGCATCCATCGGGTTGAAAAACAAACTCCATCTTGATTTCTCCAAAGGAAATCAAGGTTACCCAAGGCAGTTTGGATGGGAGATTGTGCTCAACACCATGGATTTCGCCCAATTTTCCCCAAATCTTTTCTCTGTGAAAACCCTGAAATTAACTTCGGTTAACTATTTAACTTGTGAATTGGTATCCAATTTGATAAACAAGTTTCGGTATGTTGAGTGTTTGATCATTGACAAGTGTGATGGATTGAGGTCTCTGAGAGTTGAAGGTCTTGCTAAGCTTACGACCCTCATTGTTCGAGATTGTTATGATCTTAAGTCGGTGTTTGTGGAGTCGTTGGAGCTCAAATCTCTTCGATATCGCGGGCGTTTATGCTGGTTTTCGTTCAAGAATGTAATGTATTTGAAAGACGTGATCTTGGATTGTGAAGGTCCAGGGTTCAAACACTTGAACCACCAGCTCTATGATCCGCTTTTACGAGCTATTCGAGATGTCAAGGTGCTTACACTCCGTGGATGGATGTTTAAGGTACGTTTCTCTTCACTACAACAATATTGGGTTTATAAGATACAAAAAACCCGTGTAAGGGGCCGTTTACCCGCTTATATGGGTGTTACTTAAGTTACTAGTAAGCATGGAAATGGAAATGGAAATGACCAAGAATCTAGCAAATTTTGTTGTAGTGCTTAATTGAAAGGCTTAATAAAGACTTTTTAGAATCATAATTAAGCTGTTAAATTTATGGGTTTTAGGAAGTATTTGGACCATGGCTGTTTTCAGAGGAACATGAGGAACATTTCAGATTCAGCAGACTTGAGGACTTGTGGTGGATTGATAGCTGTATGGATGATCATAACATCAACTGGTTGTTTTGTTTCTTGAAGTTTTGCACTTCCCTCAAGAGGTTGTTCATAACTGTAAGTTCCCTTCTGCTTCTCATTAAATTTAAGTGTATTGTTTGTGGGGCCGGCTCAAATATCATATCTACACTATCTTATAAAGCATTTGSCTAAAACTCTTAAACCCGTTCATCCCTATCCGATTTCATCTCATATCTGAATTCGTGTAACTAAATGCAGATAAACACAATCAAATACAGGATAAACATCTCATTTTAAATATAAAAAATCTAAAATATAATTAGGATAATCATTGAGTTTTAACATAATAATTAATTATTATCTTTAGTTATACGAATTCAGATATAAAGCTTTAATAAGTTGTATTTACGCACAATCTATTTGTAATCTTAAGTTTTAAGTAATATGCATTATAAACA